ATGATTTACTTGCCTAGCTGGACTGTCTTCTGCATCTGATTTTTGCTATTTCACTAAATATTTTCTTCTGATTTCAGTTTTCAGTATGGTACATTTCAAGACTTACAATAAGATTCCTTATTCTGTTATTATATATGGCTGATCATTGTAGAAGCCTTTCCAAGACTTGCATGAGACAGTCCTCTGAGGATTTATTTGGTGTAAAACACTGTGTAAAGCTGTTTACAATAATTTTCCTATGTGCTGCTTCTAATGAATATTTGCAGGCTAAAAAATACTTGAACATCAGACAACTGTTTCAAAATCAATCTTGAAATTAAATTTCTGTGTTGACTAAGTGCTGTATCACTGGTGCTAAATATGATGATAATTTTGAAAGACAAGTATTTTATTCATTAAATACAGGTTAGTGTGTGGTCCTGGATGCAGACTGTAAAGTCTTTGTCATTGGCAATATTCTAAATCCAGCTGCACAAAGTACTGTGAAACCTGTTTAAGCTAACCCTGCCTGGAGTAGATGGTTAGGCTAGATGATTTCAGAGGTCCTTCAACCCTGAAAAGCTCTCTGATTCTTTCTATGAAATGGATAAAAGGTAAATGTGAAATGCAGGAAGTAGTACTAGGCAGTTATTGTTGTTTTGTTCTCTGTAAATATTGTTATTTCTAAAAGGAACTTAAAAATGCTTTGAAACACTACAAACCATGGAGAAATAACAGTTCACATGCACTGACATGAGATGAAGTTTTCAAGGGGCTTTGGACCAGACCTCCAATAAGTATTTTCCTGCTCTGACAATTTTTTTGTTAAGCAGACAAGTGTAGTCCATTGCAGGCTTTTCTTGAAGAGTGAATTCACAATGACACAGTGACAATAGACTTCAAAGGCAGAAACTGTAAGGTCAAAATTCCAGTTTCTCAGCTTTGAAATTAAATAACATTGTAGATATACAGTAGTCCTAAACATGATTTCTATTTGTCTTTCATAACTTTCATCATTAAGGACATGCTGGAACATATATCCACATTAAAGCCCATGGAAGATTCACATATCAGCAAATAGATATTATCTGAAGGAAGCTGTAGTGTGTGGAAATAACACAAAGGATCTACACTCAGGAACTGCAGCCTGTGGAAAAAAGACCATAGTGACACAGTTTAACTTGCAAGGAGCTGCAGTGAGGAATCCACAGGAAGCCCACACTGGAGTATTTTCTTCTTAAAGAACTGTGCACAGACCCGGTCTTGAAGAACTGCAACCCATGTTTTCTCCTCATGTTCCACTGAGGAGCAGAAGAACGTTGAATGGGCATTTGGCAGCAAGGCCAGGTCAACCATAACGATATTCAACCCTTAAGTACCAAAGCCCCTGAACAGAAAAAGATATACATAGATCTATTCTAGTGAGTCCAAAAGATGGCCATGATAATTAGAGGGCTAGAGCACTTCTCATGCAAGAACAGACTGAGATATTTGAGGTTGTTCAACCTAGAGAAGAGAAAGCTTAGAGCTGGCCTTATTGTGGCCTTCCAGTGTCTAAAAGGGGCCTTCAAAAAGATGGGGAGGGACTCTTTAACAGATGTTCTGGTATTTCTCACATCCCTGAGCCCCACATCCCTAAACCTCTAGGTGGGGACTGGGGCAGTAAATCCTGCCCCACTGTAAGGGCAGAGAAATTCCAAGACCACCTCATGAGACTAAACATGTACAAGTCTATGGGACTGGATGGTGTGCATCTCAGGGCTCTGAAGGAGCTGGCTGAGGTGGTTGCTGAGCCGCTCTCCATCGTACTCGAAAAGTCATGACTGTCAGATGAGGTTCTGGATGACTGGAGGAAGGGTCACATCACTCCCATTTACAAGAAAGGGAACAGGGCGGACCTGGGGAACTACAGGCTGATGACTCTCACCTCTGTGCCTGGGAAGATCATGGAGCAGATCTCCTGGATGACATGCTTGATCACGTGAGGAATGAGTGTGTGATCCAAGACTGCTAGCACAGCTTCACTAGAGGAATGTCATGCTTAACCAATCTGGTGCTCTTCTATGATGGAGTGATTGCATTGGTGGACAAGGAGAGGGCTACTGATGTCATTTACCTGGACTTGAGCAAGGCCTTCCAAATTTGATGGATGTGGATTTTTCTTATCAATGGATAAGAAAAAGGCTACAGACAGAGGGTGGTCATCAATGGCTCTATGTCCAGGTGGAAGCCGGTAATGAGCAGCAGCCCCCAGGGTCTGTCTTAAGACCAGTGCTCTTTGACATCTTTATCAATGACATCAGTGATGGAATCAAGAGCACCCTCAGCAAGTTTGCTGATGACATCAAGCTGAGTGGTGCAGTTGACATGGTGGAAGGAAGGGATGCCATACAGAGAGACCTTGAGAGGCTTGAAAGGTGGGCCTGGTGAACCTGATGAGGTTCAATACAGCAAAGTGCAGAGTTTTGCACTTGGGCCGGAGGAATCTCAGGCATCCATACAGACTGGAAGGAGCGGTGCTTGAGAGCAGCCCTGCAGAGAAGGACCTGGGGGTCTTGATGGATGAAAAGCTTAACATGAGCCAGCAGTGTGCTCTTGCAGCTCAGAAAACAAATGGTATCCTGGGCTCCATCAAAAGAGGGGTGGCCAGCAGGGACAGGGAGGTGATTGTTCCCCTCTACTCTGCTCTTGTGAGGCCCCATCTGGAGAACCGTGTCCAGGTCTGGAGCCCCCAGTACAAGAAAGACAGGGAGCTGTTGGAGAGGGTCCAGAGGAGAGCCATGAAGATGATCAGGGGACTGGAGCACCTCCTCTACAAAGACAGGCTGAGGAAGCTGGGCTTGTTCAGCCTGGAGAAAAGAAGGCTGCGGGGTGACCTCATTGCAGCCTTTCAGTACCTAAAGTACCTCTTTGAAAGGGTACTCTTTGAAAGGGTAGATAATTCTTTGAAAAAGTAGATAACTGCAGGACAAGGGGAAATGGTTTTAAGTTGAGGGAGGGAAGGAAGATTAGGTTGGATGTCAGGGGAAGTTCTTTACATAGAGAGATGAGGTGCTGGTACAGACTGCCCAGAGAGTCTGTGGATACCCGTCCCTAAAAGTGTTCTAGGCCAGATTAGATGGGGCCCTAAGCAGCCTGGTCTAGTATTAAATGTGGAGGTTGGTGGCCCTGCATGTGGTAGGGGAGTTGGAGATTCACGATCCTTGAGGTTCCTTCCAACCTGGGCCATTCTGTATTTCTGTCTTTCTGTATGTGTAT